CAGTACAGGGAAGATTTCTCTCTTTCTTGGTCTTAAAAAAAAAAAACCTTAATATTTATTTTTCTTCTCAATATAACATATTAGCATATGTTAATAATAGTCATTTTTAGTTGAAGATTTATTTATTTATTTGAAAGAGTTACATGGGAGGTTGAGAGAGAGAGAAAGATCTTCCATCCTCTGGTTCACTCCCCAGATGACTGCAATGGCTAGGGCTGGGCCAGGCCAAAGCCGTGAATCAGAATCTTCATCCAGGTCTTCCACATGGGTGGCAGTGGCCAAAGCACTTGGGCCATTTTCTGTTGTTTTTCCGAGGCCATTAGCAGGGAGCTGGATTGGAAGTGGAGCAGCTGGGACTCACACCAGCACCCATATGACATGCCAGTGTTGCAGATGGTAACTTTGCCTGTTACACTATATAACACCAGTCCGTAATGATAGTTTTTTTTTTTTAAAGATTGTATTTATTTAAAAGAGTTACAGAGAGATGTAGAGCCAGAGAGAGAGAGAGAGGTATCTTCCACCTACTGGTTCATTCCCCAAATGGCTGCAATGGCCAGAGCTATGTTGCCTGAAGCCAGGAGCTTCAGAAGCTTCTTCCGGATCTCCCATGTGGTTACAGGGGCCCAAAGACTTGGGTCATCTTCTACCGCTTTCGCAGGCCATAGCAGAGAGCTGGATCAGAAGTGGAGCAGCCAGGCCGGCGCCGCGGCTCACTAGGCTAATCCTCCGCCTGCGGTGCCGGTACCCCCGGTTCTAGTCCCTGGTTGGGGCCCGGATTCTGTCCCGGTTGCTTCTCTTCCATCCAGCTCTCTGCTGTGGCCCAGGAAGTGCAGTGGAGGATGGCCCAAGTGCATTGGGCCCTGCACCCTGCATGGGAAGATCAAGGAGAAGCACCTGGCTCCTGGCTTCGGATCGGCGCAGCGCGCCAGCCGTAGCAACTATTTGGGGAGTGAATTAACGTAAGGAAGACCTTTCTCTCTCTCTTTCTCTCACTGTCTAACTCTGCCTGCCAAAAAAAAAAAAAAAAAAAAAAAAAAAAAAGGAGCAGCCGGGACTCGAACCAGCGCCCATATGGTTATGCTGGTGCTGTAGGCCAGGGCTTTAACCCACTGCGCCACAGTGCCAGACCCCTAATGATAGTTTTTAAAAACTAGATAGATGGAAATTGTTTCAGGTTCCTGCTATCATATAGCAAACAAGTCATTGTAGGTCACTTCCTGTCTTGTGGAGGGAAGCTCAACTCTATATCGGCACATCCCAACTTTGATGTCTATCTCCAGTACCTGGGATCCTCCTCAAATGCAGGATCTGATCCAGAAGTTCTGGACTGGGGTCTAACATTCTGCATTTCTGGCAGGTGGTGAAGGTAATCAGTCCATGGATCTCATTTCTTTTGATTTTCTCAGAAATTGCTGTTAATTGTCCCCCAACCTTGTTCATCCTGTAGCCTCCTTTCCAGGGGTATTTTAATGTTCTCAAATCTATTCTAGCTTTAAAATAGAATATAATAACAATAACAAACCATATATCATATCTTTTTTCTTGCTTTCAGAGCCACATTCATTTTTATCTGCAATTCACTCTCACAAACACATGCCTCTCTGATATGGCTTTTCTACATGACACATGATTTGCTTTCACCAAGATCCTGGATGAGTTCCAGGTCACCAGTGACATTTGTCATTTCTACTGTGACCACTCTACAGCATTTGATGCAGTTGACCCCTCTTTCTTTCTGGCTTCCTTGACAGTAGCTGTCCTCTGCCTGTGATCATGCCTCATCAGTCTCTCTGCTGGGCACTCCTCCTCTATCCTCTGCCTAAACAGTGTTCTTTAGGTTGCCATCCTAGCACTCCACATGCTGCAGAGTCTGTAGGAAATTCTCACCATTCATACGGCTTCAATGAACATAGGAATGGGAAAATTTTTCAATCTGTATTTTTAGTTTAATTAGGCTTCTTTGGACATTTTTAATTGGCTGTCACAAAAATGTCTCAATCTGAAAATGTCTCAAACCACCATTTCCAATACCTGCTTTTGCCATCATCCATTAAATCTGCTCTTCAATAGTCCTTCTTAGTTAAAAAAATAGATACACGTATGTCTAATTTACTGTGCCTCAAACTAGCAAATCTTTCCTATGCACCCTCCCCACATTTTTCCTCTTCACACTCAGTCGTCTGGTCGTGGTGTTCTGCTTTGAAATGACCTCTCTGACATGCCCACCTATTTATTCAGTTGGTATAAAGGCATCTGACATTTTGATGTACCCATGTTTATAAAAATATGGAACACAATGAAATTATGCTAGAACCTCAAATCATGTTTTTCTTATTTTATTATTGCTATTTTATACTTTAGAGATAAATTAAAGGAGGGACAATAGTGAGAAAAAATGGTGTTTTTTTAAGCATTTAAAACATAATTGCATTTGGGTTCTGGGTTCTAGTCCCAGTTGCTCCTCTTCCAGTCCAGCTCTCTGCTGTGGCCCGGGGTGGGCAGTGGAGGATGGCCCAAGTGCTTGAGCATGGAAGTGCACCCGCATGGAAGACCAGGAGGAAGCACCTGCACAGTGCTTTGGATCTGCACAGCGCCAGCCAGTGGTGGCCATTTGGGGAGTGAACCAACAGAAGGAAGACCTTTCTCTCTGTCTCTCTCTCTCACTGTCTGTAACTCTACCTGTCAAAACAAAACAAAACAAAACGAAAAACAACAAAACAAAACAAAAAATTACATAATTGCAGGGGCCAGCACTGTGGTGCAGTAGGTGAAAGCCTTGGCCTGAAGCACCAGCATCCCATATGGTTGCCAGTTCGAGTGCTGGCTGCTCTGCTTCCAATCCAGCTCTCTTCTGTGGCCAGGGAAAGCAGTGGAAGATGGCCCGGGTCTTTGGGCCCCTGCACCCACATGGGAGACCTGGAAGAAGCTCTTGGCTGCTGGCTTTGGATCGGCACAGCTCTGGCCGTTGCGGCCATCTGGGGAGTGAACCAGCGGATGGAAGACCTCTCTCTCTCTGTCTCTACCTCTCTCTGTAACTCTGTTTTTCAAATAAATAAAATAAATCTTTAAAAAAAAATTACAGACTGAAACCCTAAGTATGAAACCCTAAGTATGTTTACATGTCATTAAGATACAACTCTTGGAACAACTTTAAATAGATTATAATAGAGTTTGTAATCTGTAGTGGGGTACCTTGTAGTGTTCCCTTAGTGAAATATGTAGGCTTGAGCCAGTTTATTTTGTTTTGTATCTTAAATTATCTGATTACATCATCGAAAGAGGGAAGAGGTGTGTAGAACAGGTTAATCTGGTTACGTTTCTTTGACTTGGATTAATATTTGTGATAAAATATTAAAATGCATTTATTTATGAATATATATGATTTAAGAACATTTCCATTATGCATGAATTTCAACTTTCCAAATGAGAGTTCAGCTTCATGTACTTTCTCCATCCCTTCTGCCATACTCCTGATCCAGGCATGTACCTTCAGCCCCCGAATGCTCCAGCACCATCCTCGCTACTCTTATAGTTCTGGTCCTTCTCCTGTGTATTATGTACAGCAAGTGGGGTGTTGTATTTATACACAGACTTTATCACTCCATTCTCCTTCCATGGCACATGCAACAGGATGAGGTCAGGATGTCCTCTCCAGGGCTCACTGCTCCCTGTACTGAGAATCCCCTCGTGCTCGGCCCGTGCCACTCTCTGCTCTCTTTCTGCCTTCCTGTCATATTGCACTGTTTTCAGTTCTTCACACATGCTACACTCTTGATTCTGTTGGTTTTTTATTTTTTGCATATCCTGTTCCCATTGTCTTTAATATTTTCCCTCTTTGCTGTTTATCTAGCTAATTCTTACTTAACTTCCAAGTCTTGGCTTCAACTCACTGGACTTTCCTGACCCTATATCTGGGTTTAATTTTCTTATCATGGTAAAGTATATGTAACATAAAAAATTTTATATTTTAATTAATGCTGAGTATACAGGTCAGTAGGATTAAATGCATTCACAGTGCTGTGCAATCTCATCGCACCATTTCCACAACTCATCACCATCCATCTCCAGAACTTTCTTAGCATCCCAGAGATTCTGTACCCGTTATACACCCCATTCACCTCTGCCTTCTGCCCCACCCCAGTCACCAGTGTTCTACTTGACTTTCTTTTTTGTGAAAAGAACCATGTTTTTCCTGTACATTGAAGAGTTTTCAGGACCTTGTAGAGTACCTGGAATATAATAAATGCTTAATAAATATTGGCTGGGTTTGATTGATAGAAGTCTGAGGATTTTAACACAGGAAATAGCATTTTGTATGATTACTCTAATTCCAGTAATGTTTTTAAAAGATTATTTATTTATTTGAAAGTCAGAGTTACACTGAGAGAAGGAAAGACAGAGAGGTCTTCCATCTGCTAGTTCACTCCCCAGTTGGCCTCAATGGCTGAAGCTGGGCCTATCTGAAGCCAGGAACCAGGAACTTCTTCTTCCAGGTCTCCTATGCAGGTGTCCAAAGACTTTGGCCATCTTCTACTGCTTTCCCAGACCGTAGAAGAGGGATGAATCAGAAGTGGCGCAGATGGGACTCAAACCTGCGCCCATATAGGGTGCCGGCGCTGCAAGTGGTGGCTTTACCCACTACACCATAGCACCAGCCCCAAATTCCAGTAATTTTTAAGTTGAAGAAGATTAGAGAGGGGCCAGTGCTATAGCATAGTAGGTTAAGCCTCCAACTGCGGTGCTAGCATCTTGGTACTGGTTCTAGTCCTGGCTGCTCCTCTTCCCACCCAGCTTTGTGCAATGGCCTGGGAAAGCAGCAGGAGGATGGCCCAAATGCTTGGACTCCTGCACCCGTGTGGGAAACCTGGAAGAAGTTCCTGGCTCCTGGCTTTGGATCAGCCCAGCTCCAGCCATTGTTGCCATTTGGGGAGCGAACCAGTGGATGGAAGACCTTTCTTTCTGTCTCTCTCTCTCTCTTCTCTCTCTCTCTCTCTCTCTCTGTGACTCTCCCTCTCAAATAAATAAAATCTTTAAAAAAGAAAGAAAAGAAGAATAGAGATTCTTGGGCATTTATTTCTATATATATTTCTCTGTATACAGGTGAAGATGGTGGCACATGGTTTCTTGATCTGAAAAACAAGAGCGGGAATGTTGGATATGGAGAGCCCTCTGATCGAGCAGATGTGGTCATGAGTATGTCTACTGATGATTTTGTAAAAATGTTTTCAGGTGAGTTTTCAATTTTATTAACTTATCTATTGTTCAGGGAAAATTTAGTTCTGACTTTTTATGTTATTCTTTACTAAATAATCAAGATTCATAAGTGTTTTAGTGAAATCTTGGAAGATATTTGTATGGAAGATCATATAATTTTTTTATTTACTTATTTTTTGAAAGGCAGAAAGCATAGTTTGGGTTGGGAATAAATGAGTTGCCCCTACTTTTTATGCCCTTTCATTCTTACTGTTATCCCATCTGGTCTCCTTTGAATGGTCACAATTTAGACCTTATAGCCTAAGAATCCTCTTTTAAAAAGCCATAGATGGAGCTGACATGTGGTGTCATGGATTAAGCCACTGCCTGCAGCTCCAGCATCCTATACGGGTGCCGATTCAAGTCTTGGCTTCTCCACTTCTGATCCAGTTCCCTGCTAATGCACCTGAGAAAGCAGCAGAAGATGACCCAAGTGTTTGGACTTCTGCTGGCCATATAGGATACCCACTTTTTTTTTTTTAAGATTTATTTTATTGATTTGAAAGGCAGAGTTAGGAGGAGAGACAGAGGGAGAGATAGATGTTCCATTTGCTGGTTCACTCCCCAAATGGCCACAATGGCCAGGGCTGGGCCAGACCAAAGCCAGGAACCTAGAGCCTCCTCCAGTTTCACCAAGTGGGCACAGGGATCCAAGCATTTGGGCCGTCTTCCACTGCTTTCCCAGGTTCATTAGCAAGGAGCTGGATTGAAAGTGGAGCAGCCAGGTCTCAAACCATCACCCATATGGGATGCCGGCATTGTGGCAAAGGCTTAACCTGCTAAGTAACAACACTGGCCCCCCAAAATTATTTTTTAACCCATATTGTTGAGGTATAATTTACATACCATAAAATCCACCCACGGTTTTTGGTAAATGCACAGTTGTATGGCCCTCTCTACAATCCTGTGTGGGAACATTTGTATCACCCCTAAACTTCACTCCTGTCGCTTGGCAGTTGATCCCTGTTTCCAGCCCCTCCACTCCGAGCCTGCCAAGCATTACTTTTCTATCTCTACAGATTTACCGTTTCTTAACAGTTCATATAGATGGAATCAAACAGTATTTAGTCTTTTGCATTTGGTTTCTTTCACTTAACATAAAGCTTTTGAGATTTACCCAGGGAAGTTTATGGTGTATTCGCAGTTCTGTGCCTTTTAATTGCCGAGGAGAGTTCCAGTGTGTCTGTATCATGCTGACCAGCTGATGGACTTTCGAATTGTTTCAGGTTTTTGGCTACTATGAATATGGTTGCTCTGAACATCCTTGTACCTGTATTTGTGTGGATGTATGTTTCTGTTTCTCATGGGGGGAGTCCCAAGAGTGAGATTGCTGGGTCATATGGGAAATTGATGTTTAACTTTTACTCTGCTTCAGTGGCTGCATCATGTTTATAGTCCCATCAGCCATGAATCAAGACTCTGGTTTCACCAACACTTATTATTGTTGTTTTTATTATAGCATTCTAATGGATTGTAGTGGTATGTCATTTTTTTTTTCTTTTTAAAGATTTGTTTATTTATTTGAAAGTCAGAGTTACACACAGAGAGGAGAGATAGAGGGGGAGAGAGAGGGAGAGAAGTCTTCCATCTGCTGTTTTACTCCCCAACTGGCCACAACAGCCAGAACTGCAGTGACCCGAAGCCAGGAGCCAGGAGCTTCTTCTGGGTCTCCCACTCAGGTGCAGGGGCCCCAGCACTTGGGCCATCTTCCACTGTCCTCCTAGTCCACAGCAGAGAGCCTGTTTGGAGGTGGAGTAGCCAGGACATGAACTGGCGCCCACATGGGTTGCTGGCACTGCAGGCTGCAGCCCTACCTGCTACACCACAGTGCCGGCCCCTGTCATATGGTTTTAATTTGCATTTCTTTAACAACTAAAGATGTGCAACATTTTCCATGTGTTTCTTAGCTATTATATTTGGTGAACTGTTCAAAGCTTTTACTTATTTTAAATTGAGTTTCCTTTTTATTTTTGAATTTGAGATTCTATAAACTCTAGATGCATGTTCTTGATCAAATATGTGATTTGCAAATATTTTCTCCCAGTCTGTGCTTGTCTTTTCATTTTCTTAAAAGTATCTTTTGTATGCTAATTTTTAATAAAGTCTGATCTCATTTTTTCCTATTATAGTTCATGCTTTTCCCCCTAAGTATTGCATTCTTATTTATGCTATTGTGAATGGAATTATTATCTTGATCTTATTGACAAATTGCTGCTAATATACATAAATATAATTTTTGTGTATTGATTTTGTATCCTACGAAGTAACCAATAAAGCTATTTAGTGTTAGGATATTTTTCTGGGAATATTTTAAATTACTAAGTCATCTTGTTATATGTCAGTAGCTTTTATTTTTTGAACAGATTTATTGAGACATAATTCACATATCATGGAATTCCTCCATTTAAGATGTATAATTCAGGGGCTGGTGTTGTGGCATTACAGGTAAAGGTGTTGCCTGCAACTCTGGCATTCCATATGGGTGATGGTTCATATCATAACTGCTCCACATCCGATCCAGCTCCCTGTTAATAGCCTAGAAATGGGTGGAAGATGGCCCAAGTGTTTGGGCCCCTGAACCCATGTGGGAGACCCAAATGAAGTTCCTGGCCTCTGGCTTTGACCTGGCTCAGCCCTCGCTATTGTGCCCATCTGGATAGTAAACCAGCAGATAGAAGTGCCTCTCTCTCTCTCTCTCTCTCTCTCTCACTCTCACTCCCACTCCCACTCCCACTCCCCCCCTGCCTCCCACTCTCTCTCTCCCTGTAACTCTGACTTTCAAATAAATAAATAATTTTCTTTTTTTTAACAAAAGTATATATGGGCCAGTGTCATGGCATAGTGGGTTAAGCCACCGCCTGTGATGCTGTCATCCCATATGGTGCTGGTTCAAAACCTGGCTGCTCCACTTGTGATTTAGCTCTCTGCTAATGTGCCTGGGAAAGCAGTGGAAGATGGCCCAAGTCCTTGGGCCCCTGAACCCACGTGGGAGACCTGGTGGAAGATCCTGGCTCCTGGCTTTGGATCGGCACAGTTCTGGCCGTTGCAGCCAACTGGCGAGTGAAACAGTGGATGGAAGACCTCTCTTTCTCTCTGCCTCTCCTCTTTCTGCATAACTCTTTCACATAAACATAAATATTTTTAAAAAAAGAAAAATCAGGAATAGGGAAAACTAGAGGGACAGAAAGATGATTAGCAGTTGCTGACAGCTGGAGGTGGAGAAACAGAGGGAGACAGGGGTGATGACTAATGGATGCGAGAGATCTTTCTGAGGTGATGAAAATGTTCTAGGGGCAGGCATTGTGGCACAGCAGGTTGTGCACCACATGGGATGACAGCATCCCCATCAGAGTGCCTGGTTTGAGTCTTGGCTACTCCTCTTCCAACCTAGTTTCCTGCTAATGCGTCGTGGGAGGCAGCAGATGATGCTTTCCCAGATGATACATAGCAGAGAGCTGGATGGGAAGTAGAGCAGCCGGGACTGGAACCAGCGCGTCAGGCCAGGGCGTTAACCCACTGCGCCACAGGCCGGCCCCTCCCTATTCCTGATTTTCATATGAACACAATCATGTAATAGATGTGTGATCTTTCAGTGACTGAGAGATTTATTTATTTATTATTTGAAAGAGTTACAGAGAGAAGGAGAGACAGAGAGAGAAGAGAAAGATTCCATCTGCTGGTTCACTCCTCCTATGGCTGCAATGGCCAGGGCTGGGTCAGGAGCTTCTTCTGGTTCTCCCACGTGGGTGACAGGGGCCCAAGCACTTGGGGGCTTCCTCCAGTGCTTTCCCAGGTGCATCAGCAGGGATCTGGATTGGAAGTGGAACAGCTAGGACTCAAACCACTGCCCATATGGGATGCTGGCGTTGTAGGCAGAGACTTTACCCGCTATGCCACAATGCTGACCCCTCTACTTAGAATACTTTAAAGATATTTAATCAGGGCTGGTGCTGTGGTGTACCAGGTAAAGCCACCGCCTGCAGTGCCGGCATCCCATATGGGCACCGGTTTGAGTCTCGGCTGTTCCACTTCCGATCCAGCTCTCTGCTATGGCCTGGGAAAGCAGTAGAGGATGGCCCGATTCCTTGGGCCCCTGCACCCACGTGGGAGACCTGGAGGAAGCTCCTGGCTCCTGGCTTCGGATTATCACAACTCCGGCCATTGCGGCCAATTGGGGAGTGAACCAGGGGATGGAAGACTTCTCTCTCTCTCTCTCTCTCTCTCTCTCTCTCTCTCTCTCGCTCTTCTCCCTCTGTGTAACTCTGACTTTAAAATAAATAAATAAATCTTAAAAAAAAAAAGGTACTTAATGTCTCTATATATAGAGAGAGACACACTTTTTCTAGAAAGAGCCTGTGCATAGCATGGGAGCAGGAGGAGAGGGTGGACTATGCGCAGACACATAGATGTTTTCTAGGAGATATGAGCCACATATAAATGGGCACAATATAAGAAAATTATAAATGAGAGTCAGACATACCTGGTTTTGCATTGTAGAACTGTCATACGTAAGCTGTGTGACCTTGGGCAAGTCAGAATCCTTCGTGAGCCTGCTTTCCTTATAAATTCCACTGTGCTGGATTCTGTACTGACTGGAAGAGTAACAGACAACAAGTTCTGGAGTGGGCATTCGGGCTAGACGGTGGGACACCTACCTATTAAAGAGTTACATTGAAGAAGCAGATGGAAGCTTTGTCTCTTTCTTTGCCTCTCAGATAAATTAAACAAACAAAAACCAAAGTTCCCTTTCTCTGTGGAGCTAATATTTATTATATGTTATTAGCTGTAATTCCATTTTAATGCTCACGCTTTTTATAGTCTGTCATGTCTTTGGTTAAATTAATGATAACACACATTGTTGTTTTCAGACATTATACTTTTTTTTTCCAAAAAAAAAAAAAAGATGTATTTATTTGAAAATCAGGCCAGCACCATGGCTCTCTAGGCTAATCCTCCGCCTGAGGCGCCGGCACCCTGGGTTCTAGTCCCGGTTGGGGAGCCGGTTCTGTCCCAGTTGCTCCTCTTCCAGTCCAGCTCTCTGCTGTGGCCCAGGAGTGCAGTGGAGGATGGCCCAGGTCCTTGGGCCCTGTACCCGCGTAGGAGACCTGGAGGAAGCAGCTGGCTCCTGGCTTTGGATCGGTGCAGCGCCGGCCGTAGCAGCCACTTGGGGGGTGAACCAACGGAAAAGGGAAGACCTTTCTCTCTCTCTCTCTCTCACTGTCTAACTCTGCCTGTCAAAAAAATAAAAATAAAAAAAGAAAAAATCAGAGAGGTTTACACAGAGAGAGAAGGAGAGGCAGAGAAAGAGAGGTCCTCCATCCATTGGTTCACTCTCCAATTGGCCGCAACGGCCAGAGCTGTGCCGATCAGGATCCAGGAGCTTCCTTCGTGTCTTCCCACATGGGTGCAAGGGCCCGAAGACTTGGGGCCATCTTCCACTGCCCTCTAAGGTCATAGCAGAGAGCTGGATTGGAAGAGGAGCAGCCAGGACTTGAACCGGCGCCCATATGGGATGCCAGCATTGTAGGTGGCAGCCTCACTCACTATGCCACAGAACCTGCCCCAGACATTATACTTTAAAAGAATTATTTATATGAAATGTAGATAGAGATCTTCCATCTGTTGGTTTACTCTACAAATCCAGTTGGTTTATATAGCAGCCAGGGCTGGGCCAGGCTAAAACCAGGAGCAAGAACTCAATCCTGGTCTCCCATATGGGAGGCAGGAACCCAATTATTTGAGCCATCACCTGCCACCTCTCAGGATGTTCACACTAGCAGGAAGCTAGAATCAGGAACAGAGCCAGGACTTAAACCACGGCATCCATTATGGGATGCAGGCAGTCCCCAGGGTAGCTTAATTGCTGCACCAAATGTGCTCTACCCTGGACACTATACTTTTTTTTTTTTTTTTTTTTTTTGACAGGCAGAATGGACAGTGAGAGACAGACAGAGAGAAAGGTCTTCCTTTTACCGTTGGTTCACCCCCAAATGGCCGCTGCAGCCGGCGCACCGCGCTGATCTAAAGGCAGGAGCCAGGTGCTTCTCCTGGTCTCCCATGGGGTGCAGGGCCCAAGCACCTGGGCCATCCTCCACTGCACTCCCTGGCCACGGCAGAGAGCTGGCCTGGAAGAGGAGCAACCAGGACAGAATCCGGCACCCCGACCAGGACTAGAACCCGGGGTGCCGGCGCCACAGGCAGAGGATTAGCCTATTGAGCCTCGGCGTCGGCTGACACTATACTGTTAATAACTGTTTCTTTAGGATAGTTTTGCTTTTATGAAATGTGATTTCTTACATTTAAACTTGAAATGTTATGTTTAATGAACTATAATAGATTGGGAAATTATCTAAAAGAGATCTGCTTACCAGTTCATTTGAGGGCCATGTATCCTTTAGCATACCATAACTAGTATAAATGTTGTACCTTCAGCTTTTTGCTATGTTTTTTGCTGATTTTTGTTTTTTACATTATCCCTCATTTTACAGGATATTGTTGGCATCTAAGTTTAGGAATTGAGATTCCCTAGACACTGATACAAAATGCTGTAATAGAAATTTCTATGCTTCTGAGGTTTACAGAATTCAAGGAGATTCTTTTTTATGATGCTTATTCTTGAAGCAGTCTATCCCTTAGGGCACTAATGGTTGCTTTTCCCTCTCTCATTTTCTCGTTTTAGGGAAACTAAAACCAACAATGGCATTTATGTCAGGAAAATTGAAGATTAAAGGAAACATGGCACTAGCGATCAAATTGGAGAAACTAATGAATCAGATGAATTCCAGACTGTGAAAGAAAAGACAAAAAAAGTCCAAGAGATCAACAGTTAAACCCCAGTGCTTGTTTTCTTCCCTCTTGTGTTATCAGGCTATGCATGTTTGTTCTGGAAAAAATAGAATTTCTGTATCTATAAGACTTGAAATTGTAATTAAAACAGCTAGCTAATCAAACATAAGCTTCATGAGTGGAATTCTAGGACATTCTATGTTTTGTATTTCAAGGGTTTTGCCCTCTGAGCAACCACTGTCATCTTTCAGGAAAAGTACATATTATGAGCAACCAGTCAGGGTCAAGCACTAAAATTAGGTCTTTTCAAAGCTTCTTCTCATGTAAAATGAAGTTGGTCTGTTTTAACATTTTTAGCCTTGATTGTATATTAATGGAAATTTTAATGGTGTTGGATTTTTATATACTTATTTTAAAGGAAAAATAGGTGCTTTCTACAGACATTATGTAATAAACTACTTAATAAATACTACTTGCAAAGACTAAAGAAACAGTTTTTTATTCTGTTAACAAGCTTTCCAGGTGTAGTTACCTATGGGAAAATATTACTGTAATTCAACTAATCATAATATTATCCCATTTTAAAGTATATAGAAAAAAATCTAAAATGAAATAATTTTCTCCCCAGAGCATTAAGTCAGAGTGTTTTGAAATAACATTAGAGGGGCTGGCGTTGTGGCATACAGGTTAAGCCTCTGTCTGCAGCGCCAGCATTCCATATTGGCGCTGGTTCAAGTCCTGACTGCTCCACTTCCAACCCAGATCCCTGCTGATGCACCCGGGAAAGCAGCTGAGGATGGCCCAAGTGCTTGGGTCCCTGCACCCACATGAGAATCCTAGAAGAAGCTCCTGGCTTCTATCTTCAGCTTGGCTCAGCCCCAGCAGTTAATTTGGGAAATTAACTAGCAGATGGAAGATTCTCTGTCTCCCCCTCCTTCTCTCTAACTCAACATTCAAAAAAAAAAAAAAAAAAAACCACTTCTTAAGAAGATTAGAGTAGAATTGTTGCTGTGTGATGAATTGTGTGTTAGGCCATCACAAAACACACCAAACACCGGAGTAAGGGAAAAGGTTTATTGAGGAAAACCCAGCAGACGGGAGGGAAGGGGCCAGGAGGGAAAAAAGAGAGGAGAGTATAAGAGAGAGACAGAGACAGAAAGGAGAGGAGCTAGCGAGGAGAGGAGAGAGAAGAGAAATGAGAGGGGGAGAGCAGAGCAGACGAGGAGCCAAGAGAGCCATGTGTTCAGGAACAGGTCCTTTTAAAACTCTGCTGGAGGGCGGGCAGGGAAGCAGGAGCAGCGAATCCCATTAGGATGGGGATGGAGCTTAACAACCGCTGTTGGGCCATGTGGCCACCTGGCTTCCAGCAGTGGCTGTGGGGGGGGGGGGGGGCGGCTAGGGCCTAGGAGGTAAATCAGGGTGTAGGTGTGTAGATCGCGCCATAGATAAAACCGCCATTTTCCTAACATTGTGTACCCTGCAACTCATGGGTGGAAGTTCTAAAGCTTAGTGCCTCAGAATGTGACTGTATTTGGAGATGTGATTAAAGAGATGTGTATGTTGAAATGCTGCCATCTAATTCAATCTAGTTTTTTTTTTTTTTTTTTTTTTTTTTTTAAGATTTTATTTATTTTATTTGAGAGTTAGAGTTACAGGCCGGCGCTGCGGCTCACTAGGCTAATCCTCTGCCTGCGGTGCCGGCACCCCAGGTTCTAGTCCTGGTCGGGGCACCAGATTCTGTCCCGGTTGCTCCTCTTCCAGTCCAGCTCTCTGCTGTGGCCCGGGAGTGCAGTGGAGGATGGCCCAAGTGCGCATGGGAGACCAGGAGAAGCACCTGGCTCCTGGCTTCGGATCAGCCTGCTCCGGCTGCAGCGGCCATTTGGGGGTGAACCAGCGGAAAAAGAAGACTTTTCTCTCTGTCTCACTGTCCACTCTGCCTGTCCAAAAAAAAAAAAAATAAAATAATAGAGTTACAGACAGTGAGAGACAGAAAGAAAGGTCTTCCTTCCCTTGGTTCACTCCCCAGATGGCCACAACGGCTGGAGCTGCGCCGATCCAAAGCCAAGAGCCAGGAGCTTTAACGTACTGTCACGGCGCCACCCCTCAATCTAGTATTCTTATAAAAAGAAGCAGTGTAGACATAAGATGAACACTTGGTGGCAGGGGGGTGGTGGTGGATGTATAACCTAGTGGTTAAGCACCCCACCTCCCCATCCCTCATCGGAGTGCCTCAGTTCTCCTGGCTCTGGCACCATACTGCAGCTTCCTGCCAGTGTGGACCCTGGGAAGCAGCTATGAGGACTCAAGTTATTGGATTCTTAGCACCCATGTGGGAGACCTGGATTGAGTTCCTGGCTCTTGGCGTCAGTCCTGGGCCTAGCTGGACACTGCAGGCATTTAGAAGTCAATCAGTGGATGGGAGCTCCGTCTTTCTCTGCTTCCCAAATAAGCAGTAGCACTGGGGATACGTGCACAGAGGAGAGACCAGGTAAGAACATAGCAAGAAGGCAACCATCTGTAAGACAAGGAGGCAGCCTCAGAAGAAATAAAAGTTCTGATACCTTGATCTTGAACTTCTGATCTGTAACTGGGAGAAAATAAACGTCTGTCGTTTAGGCTTCCCAGTCTGTATTTTGTTATGGCAACCCTAGCAAAGTAATGCAATACTTGGTGGGTGGGAGGACTGAACCTTATTTAAGTTCTTACCTTTAGTTGTTACCAGTTAAAAAAGCTTGCTCGGTGCAGTTCTTGCACTTCTCATTTTACACGCTCTAAGATTACTGTGCTATTAAGCAATTTAGCTAATTCTTACATTTCTCAGAATCATAGTATTAGGAGCATTTAATTTGCATTTTACAAAGGAGGAAACAGGATCAGCGATCAGGAATGACTAACACAAAGGCAAAATTAGCAAACCCTATCCAAGAGAAGCTGTCAATGGGACTTGATGATCTAAATTCCATGAAGCCCAGGGAGGCTGACTTTGAGGGGCAGCCCTTACCCCTCCCTGGGCAGTTCCCCGTCCTAGCTACGTAAGGATCCTGGTCAGATATGGCCCACAAGCTCCTTTTCTACTGAAGTTTTCTAAAAACTTCTTTTTCTCTGAATTTTCCGAGTGGTCTTGTTAAAGTCTATGGGAGGCCATTGTTTTGGATTGACCTCCAAAAGAGCTTACAGAGAGGCCAGTTTTTGAAAACACAGGAGATGCAGGCAATCAATCAGTCATCCTGAGCTGGCCTGATAAGGAAACCCCCACAGCTCTGATCCATTCAGGGACAGTAATCTGATGTAACCTGATATTAACCAGTCTGCTTCATGCACTCTGGTGTTTTATTGTTCCTGCCAAAGCTCCTTACACAAGCTGTCTGCCACATCTGACGGGACTGTCTCTCTTGTAGACTGGATGTTGCTTACTTCCTGGATCACTATCAAAAGCCAACTGGATTTTTAAAATTCAATTTGGTTGAAATTTTGTTCTTTAAAAGATTTGAGAAAAGAAAAATTGAGTGGAAGAAATGTTGGGTTCTGTTCACTAAAACATGAAGCTGCCATGTTTTAAAGTTTTATTTCTTTATTTGAGAGATTAACAGAGGACAAGAGAGAGTAAGTGTGCCTGAGGGCGAGCTCCCATCCAACAGTGACCCTCGCCTCTTGGCTGTTTGCCCCATTATTGCTCTAAAGTGATTGTTAGATTGGTCATTGTAATCTCTGCCTGCCAGCTTTTAACATTTTTCCAAAGAGATACTTTTTGTATTTTAAATCAACTTTGCCTATCCCAAGGTTGAGATTTTTCTCTGAAAAGCTTTTTTATTTTAGCTTTTATGTTTAGATCTATGATCCACCTCAAGTTAATTTTTTAATATGGTATAATATTAGGGTAAGGGTGCATTTTATTCCATATGACTGAAAAGTCCATTTACTCCCCCTTTGGATTTCTCTCATACATATATGGCTGGGTCTATTTATGGTTCATTAAATTATGTGACATGTTATACAATACTACCTTGTCTTGATTAGTGCAGTGTTTTTGAAACTAGATCTTCTGTCTCCCAGCTTTGTTCTTTTTTGTATTATTTTGGCTATTCTATGTCTTTTGTACAAGGGTACTTCGAAAAGTTCTTGGAAAATGGAATTAAGAAGTAAGTTTGTTTTGGTGCAAAAATTTTTGAAAGTGTATCTTAAGAGTCCTCAGAAAGTTCATGGAAAATTCATATTACAAAAAACTGGCTGGCGCCGTGGCTCAATAGGCTAATCTTCCACCTAGCGGCGCCAGCACACCGGGTTCTAGTCCCGGTCGGGACGCCGGATTCTTTCCCTGTCGGGGCGCTGGATTCTTTCCTGGTTGCCCCTCTTCCAGGCCAGCTCTCTGCTGTGGCCTGGGAAGGCAGTGGAGGATGGCCCAAGTCCTTGGGCCCTGCATCCCATGGGAGACCAGGAGAAGCACCTGGCTCCTGCCTTTGGATCAGCGCGGTGCGCCGGCCGCAGTGTGCCAGCCGTGGTGGCCATTGGAGGGTGAACCAATGGCAAAAGGAAGAAAGGAAGACCTTTCTCTCTGTCTCTCTCTCTCACTATCCACTCTGTCAAAAAAAAAACAAAAAACAAAAAAACAAACAAACAAAAAAAAAACACCACACACACAAAAACACAAAACAAACAAAAACTATGCATTGGCTGGCGCTGCAGCTTACTTGGCTAATCCTCCACCTGCGGCGCCGGCACCCTGGGATCTAGTCCAGTTGGGGTGTCAGATTCTGTCCGGTTGCTCCTCTTCCAGTCCAGCTCTCTGCTGAGGCCTGGGAAGGCAGTGGAGGATGGCCAGGTGCTTGGGCCCTGCACCCGCATGGGAGACCAGGAGGAAGCACCTGGCTCCTGGCTTCGGATTGGTGCAGCGCGCCTGCTGTAGCGGCCATTTGGGGCATGAACCAATGTAAGGAAGACCTTTCTCTCTCTCTCTCTTTCTCTCTCTCTCTCACTGTCTGTAACTCTACCTGTAAAAATAAAAAAATAAAAAACTATGCATGGATTTCAAAATATTTTTTGCACCAAAATAAACTACTTTTAATTCCATTTTTCCATGACTTGTTTGAAGTCTCTTCATATTTCTGTATAAATTATATTATAATTTTGTTAACATCAAAAATTCTGTTGGTATTTGATTTTGGTAGAGTTAAATCTACATACCAATTTGGAAGAATGATTATTTTTTTAAAATTTTAATTCATTTCCATCTGTTTAAAAAGCAGAGGGAGGGGAGAAAGGGAGGGAAAAGTGAGAGGCAGTGAGACAGAGAGAATCTTTCATCTTCTCCTTCACTTCCCAAGTGCCTGCAACAAAATAGCCAGGGCTCATGGAGGTTGAAAACGGGAAGCTAGGAATTCAGTCCATGGCTTCCACATGGGTGGCAGGGATCCAAGTAAAGTCATCACCTGCTGCTTCCCAGGGTACACATTAGCAGGAAGCTGGATTTGGATG